GCGGCATCATAATAGAGTTCGTTCAACCTGAATGCCACATCCTGTTCAGTGTTCTTTTCGTAGACTGTACGTGGGACAATATCATACCTGTACAAGGGTACAGTAGTCATACTTATTTATAATATAATAATGGTACATTTATTTATATAAGTAATGAACTTTCAGCATGGTTATAGATGGATTTATACTTTAAACTATGAGTCTCGGCAGCGCACAGATCATTATAGGGAACTCTATTTTTTTTATTTAAATTTAGTCCATCCCAGGTGAACACCTTCTAAATATTCAGACGCTTTGTATAGAACTTTGTATACAACAATATTTTTAAAAATGTATTAATTAAGTATTAACTGATACAGTTACAAAGACAACAGTCAAATAATTGCTCTAGGCGTATAATATTGGTATAACCGAGGTAACTTTGTAAAAAGTCGTATGCAGTTCGTCTCGTCTACTTTAGCCACCAAGTAGGTTGTAGCGGCGGTGAATTTACCGTATAGGATGCATGATATTTTAGTCCTCCGGAATGACAATGAATGTGCGGTATCACGGGCGTCGTATGATAACGTGATGTCCGTGATATTCGTGCACATAGGTCACTTACCACTTATAGTCAGGTAGAGGTAAGTTTGTTTGTATACTAATTACATAATAAATCACATTTACAAAAGTTATAAGCTTCAAATATCAAGTGTATGACAAATATAAGTATAACAAAAAATAAGTGTCTGTAGTTAACTTCATATGGACGAAGAGAAAACGAATATGTGAAGGTTTGAGCACATTACAAACGTGAATCATAACTTTGGACTGATGACCCGGGTGTTTCATTATATTATTTTGCGTCGTCGAGTCACCGTCACTGCTGACTTCTAACAACTAACGGTAAAGTTCGGATCCCGCGAAAACTGTATAACCGGCTAGACTTCTGATGTTTAAAGCGAACTTATAAACACCCACCTACGTACATACATTGGTTGTATTCATCACTGTATTTAGAACATATTTGAGATAATCATACTCCTAAAACCAATTCCAATCCAATGACATGGAATCGCATCGTTTACATCTATTTAAACGATTTTAGAAAATAAATGGGTATTTTATTCTATCTTTTTTGTCTCTTGAACTATACAATAGCAACGGATTAATTTCATATTCCGTAGTTAATAAAACAACTGATATTGTTATCGATTTATTCGGGACAGACTTGATTACGTATCAAAATAACACAAGAAAAATTGATTGGATTGAAATTCAAATCGATATTGTGATTAATTTAGAATAGACCTGCTGAACACTCAAACGGTATAGTGGTATGAAGTGGTATGAGGAGCGGCTTCGATTCGTCTAAGAAAGAGTATTAATTTTAATGTCAAGTAAATCTAGAATCTTGTACCTAACCGACTACTTTGTTCAACTTTTTTTTGTGTTATTCTTAGCAATATAAATATTAGCTAATTCATAACCGCTTTTCATAATTTTATTAATCGCCTATTAATAAGTAATATGCACGTGATATTTTCGTTTAAATTTAATGGCATATGCTTTTGGCAATATATCTGTATTTATTATTAATTTTGATACTATAAATAGGTAATAAGTTAGTTTTAGTGGCAAAATGTACTTGTTTATCTAAAGGTTTTTTTTACTCTTGTGTTGGTCTTACACTAATTTTGTCACGATTAAAGCCGGTTGTATCTGTGAAACGGATCTAAAATAAAACAGATCTCATATTAAAAATAGTGCTTGCTATCTTAAGGTGCAGTGTCTATTAAACCAAGCGCCAGATATCGTTTCTATAGATTTCTTAATTTTTTGCTACATTGACATTCTTTTGTCCATGTTCTTCAAACTTTACTCTTACACTGGATATTGGAATAATACAACCACGGCTGTTATCGCATATGAGGGTAGTCGAGGTATAATATCTCGCATTATTTTTAATTTTTCTGTGTTTATCAATATTTGGGGTCTAAGTCGAAATACTTCGAATGTATTCAGTGAATTGCAAGATGTAACAATATTCGTTTTAATTTAAATGTCCATGCATCTAAATGATCTAAGTGGGTCAAACAGCCAACCGCGACGCAGTAAGAAATGTTTCGTAGTTGGGGGTCAGCCCGCCAAGCGAATGGCGCAATATCTAGCCAGGGAAGATATTGCACACAATACGTTTACAATGAGTAACACTAATGGACATTATTTTCAGGATTATGTGGCAAACATGGCATTGACATGTTTTAAAAACATATTGATATTGGCCTATAAATTTAAATATATTATCATAATTTACTGTCTCTATCACGGTGTTACTTGCGTAAATTAGGTAAAAATATTTTATTTGGCTACTCCTGGATATAATCTATTTGCGTATAATTTACAATAAAATACAGTAGTTTTGCGTGAAAAAGTAAACATCCATCCATCCATTGAAACCTATCATCTATGAAAACCTTACTATTCGGTGCATGTACGTTACGTTCAGTTAAGTAGCCTAATTAATTTGATATGATTTATTGTTTAATTCATAAAAATTTGCATGCCTCATCGACGGCAGAATACTCATTCAGCAAATTAATAGATAAGATATTGATCGACTGAATATTATATAATATCTACCTACCTAATTATTTTGCTTTACATATGTAGTTAAAATAACTACATATGTAAAGCAAAATAATAGACTTTTCCTAATAATAATTTGGATTCTCTTATTTAGTATTATTATGTGAATATATAATCGTAATTGCAGGCTTAAGTTTTTATGCTCTGGTGAATGCATTAGCAAAATGCGGAACACTTTACTCCATTATGTATCATTAATAAACAATTATTAGACATGACAATTATTTTAATAAAATACTACGTAATAATATAATACATCAATAGGTACCAAGCACCTACTTACTTACATACGACATTATTATGAACAGATTCCTTAATAAATAAAAACATTAATTCTGATAACATATTATTAATTATTATAATCGTAGATTCACCTTTAAGTGCAGACAAAGAATTGAGCGTCATCACAAGAGTATATTCATTCAAGACTGTTATCAAATTCAAGCTCATAATTATATTCTATATCGGCCTCCTGTGCACATCATACTTTTATCACTATGCCTATCGCCCTTTCCTATCTTAATATTCTAGATTGGTTAGTCAAAGGCATTGTTAACTGTCGACGTTGCGTCGTGGTAAATGCAATACCTACTTGAGATGCCTACATTTTGATTTAGTATTTATTCATATGTACATTTATCTGTATCTTTATACATATGTCTTATTTTTATAGAAATTTATATATATAATAATGTCTTATATATATTTAACATTTTATATTAGGGCATCGCCAACAATCTTTCTCTGCACTACTCAGGGTTGACTGGGTAGATAACTCCGCAAGGTGTTAGGTCCGTGTAGGTGTACACTTTATTTCTTTGTATTGAATTGTAATAAATATATATATTTAAATCCATCATAGCACAACGGGGCCACCACTGCCCTTCTCTGATAAATTAAAATTTCTATTAAATGAGTGATATTATATCACTAATTTAATAGAAATTTTAAACAAACAACATTTATAAGATTGACACGCATTGATAACTAGTTGACTGACTCGATAAGTATATAGATTAAATACAGTATTTATTATTAAAATGTCATGTTTTTCTACAAAGACCTTATGAACGTCTTTCAATTCCTTGATCTTAAAATATAGTTCGAGTCGCTGTAACTATATCCATTTTTTCTTTACGTTCTGTTAGATTCATTTGTAGAATAACTTCAAAAGTATTGCGTATAGGTATAATAGATCTGCTAAACGCACTGCCTTGACCCCGTCTATTATAACAAAACAATGTTATGTACGTATATTAGCATCGTAACTTTGCAATGCATTGGTTTAGACAAATCCTCTCAGAGAGGATAATCTTCTTTGTAATTTCCGGTAAGTAAAATCGTGTAAGACCATGTCGATCCATTTGACGTCATTTACAATAACTAGCTGTTTGTGCGGCTTTCCACGCGCAAAACCACTAATACCTCTGCCACATTGCGTGCGGGGTGGGACAGAAGCGGGACGCTATCGTGACGATCTTATTTATAAACTTTTAGATATCCCTGATTTGACTTGTGTGCACCTACTAATGAAGAAAAGTGAAACCAAATCTTTCTGTCAATTCTTCACTTTTTGTACTATCTTTTTTGAAATTAGTTACAATTACTAAGAAGATAATTTCAAGCTTATAGTACATTCGGAAACTGATTTTATTTTATTTAGATAAAAAATATATAGGTAATGAAACATCCAAGCGTTCCACTCGACGCAACATCAGCGACATCGCTGTAACGTCTCTCATACTATTAGTTTCGTACCCACGAATGTTGTATCAATGTCCCGCCACCGTCACGCCCCGCTCAGAATGTGGTAAAGGCTTTATAAATTTCCACATACCATTCGTTTTCTTGACGCTATTTTGTTTTCTTACATAATAGTGTTTACATCCTTTCTTTGTTATGTAAGAAATAGGATGTAAATACTCTAAATCCAGAAATTTTTATTTCTCAATATTTTATTGTTTATATTTTTATAGCTTTTATATTCTTCGCTTCTCAAGTCTTAATATTATTCTATTACGAAAAGTCTATAGTTTATTATGGGTCCTCAATAGTCCTCATGAATGCGATTTTAGTAATCTGAATGTAGATAAAGAACACACAATTTTCTGGCAATATTTGTGCATACAACAGATACAGGGTTTTACTTTACTTTTTATACAATACAGTATAATATGAGATTATTGATTTTGCCTTACATACATTGTAATATTTTTGTTACCATATTTAATAAAAATAGAAATATACTTATGTGTATATTGCCTAAAATAGAAAAGGACATTTTCAAGTAGATAGAGAATATATTCCCAAAATATAGAAAAATCACCCAAGTGAACAACTTTTAAAAAACTAGGAAATATAAAATAACTTACCTCATATACATTTGGATGCCATACTTTCGTTAAAAATCTAATGGAGGGTGGTGAATATGGATAGTCTGGAGGGAATTTCATATGTGCCTGAAACAATAAAATATATATGAATTAAATTAAGTACAGGTAATTCCAAAAAATAAAAATAGAAATATAAAAATTATAGATTTTGTTTTAGGACAGTTTTATTAAATTAATCTATTATTATATGTATTTCTTTATTTCACAGGTTCCTTGTTCTTAATTGGTATTAATCTAATAACTATTAATAGCTGATAGTTTGTAACAAGATAAATAACATATTAATCACAACCAAAATAATTATTGAAATAATATGGAAGTAAGGACCCAGTAATTGTGAAAATAATGATCAAAATCATTGTATAACAGCATTTTTTTTTCTAAAACATACCCACATACAACTAAATATAAAGATGCAGATAACAGCTCAGCAGTAGATCATATTGTTCAACTCCCGAAAAGCCAGAATGAAAAATAATTGGTGACCTACTCCCAATTAATAGTTACAATAGATGTGTTATTGACAAAGATATTTGTCTTGTTAAAGTAACCAAATTCAACAATGGTATTAAGAATAAAAAGCTAAAGTTTATTAATGCATGACATTAAAGATTGATTACTTTCATGTCATGCATTGTTTAAATATTGTTAAATTATCTATGACCTTCCAATATATGTCATTACTTAGTAGTAATGACATATATTGTTATTATTCTATTAGTATAGAATAATAACTAGTTGGACTAACTAATACTTCTCCAGAAATAATTATCCATATTAATACATGTAACAAAGGACTATTATGTATGTTTGTTTTCTAGTGTATCCCTTTGTTTGATAATATAATAACTATATAAACTTATCAAAAATATATACTACAATATTCCCTCAACTTTGGCTGCATGACCAGTACTGATGGGAGGAGATTGTTAGAAATGTGAACTTCTATTTTTGACTTATGTATAATGTCAGGTTGATCTCCATACAGTTCTCGCTGGAAATCATTGTGACAATTTTCTGGTGAAGTTACCATGATGGATGGATGAAATGGATGCAGGTGACTCCACCATTCCATACACTAAGAAAACATTATCAATTCACTTCCCATTAATTGATATTTGAGTGTGAATATTTAAATATTCTTCTACACATATCAATGTCACATCTCTTATAATGAGGTGCCGAAATAATTGTACATATAATTTAAAAACAAAATTTATAGGAAATATTTGAACCTATATTATTGTTTTTCCATCTGAAACACTATGGATAAGGCATAGTAATTGAGAATCGCTAAAGCAAGTGAAAGTGTAACCAAAAAACATTTTAAATAGAAATAGAAATAGAAATAATCTTTATTCAAATAAATTCATTTTAATATTATTTTGATAATATTAATATTTATAATATTAGTTAGTATATGAAATCTCATTGAGATATTTTTTAATTAGTATTTTCGTCTTATATTTTTGAAGAATTATCAGAAAGTCACATAGAAACAGCAGATGGTCTTCTCTTAATTAGAGAGATTCTGAGAACTGTTTATGTATGTGTAATGTTTTTTGATCAGCTTTAAGTTATTCATTTCCATAGAGAAAACTTTATAATATTTATAAAATTCATTTACTTATTACACTACATATAATAAATAAACTCATAAATTATACATCATTTAGATTCCAATGAAAATGTGTTATGACATCAATAAAAAATATTTAGCAAAATTTTTATGTACAAAGTTCTACTAGCATATTACAGATAATAAATCAAAGCTACTGCTGTCTGTGCATGGAATATAGTTTCCAAGTCAAGAAGAAATGCAGGAAACTCTGCTCTTACTCTTTTCAAATCAGATAGTCAAGGTATAATTAGTATCTGACGAAATAAAGTAGTACAGTTCTTCTGTACAGAGATTATTGGAGTCAACATCAAGTTCTCTTTTAATTACATCGAGTTTTAATTTCAAATATAGTAGTCATTACTAAGTTCATCTTATAATGATAATTTATATAAAATAAATGAAAAGATAATAAATAAATTATCATTATTAATCATCTAATATGATGATGATTTACATTAGTTTATCACTAATTTGTAAACTACAGTAAATATTATTAAATTACCCACATTTTAGTGATTTTTAGAGATAGTATGCATGCCACCTCTATTTGTCAGCAACAAGTTATAACAAGTGACATTTAATATTAAAACAACTACATATTATGAACACAAAAATTGACAGTGTATGAAAAAATATGTACACACAATGTGTTTAACATTGTAAATTATGTGACCAGGATATTACTTGTTAATTATTTCAAACTGGTAACTAACTAGTTGGTTATCTAAACATGTAATTTCATTTCGTTTGCATACCTACTATCACATAACTTACATTTACATTCACACTCTTTGTTGTTTATATTTCTTTATAGTGATAATTACCCAGTGTTATCAGGGCAATGTATATAATAGTATAACTCTAATTCTTACCTTGAAATAACCACCTTGGTACAACGTGTCTGGTGGACCAAATATTGCAACTTCCCACTCAAACAAATTGTCCTCCCCAAGTAACTTGACTCTAAATCCTTCCACTGGCTCCTCCTGGAGACTTTTGTATTCTAAAGCTAAAGCCCTTAGGGCAGAACTAGTCGGAACTGTATTAGACATTGTCAATTTATATTCTTCTATTATAAAGTAACCTAAAATCACTAGTTGGATGAGATTCTATTGACATAACACTGCGGAACTCTTCTCTCGATCCACGTATTCAGGAGGCATTTCAAACAGACTCACAACAACAACGAACGATGATTTTTGGTAAACATAACGCTAAAGTAGTCTAGCAATTATTTTGAAATACACACTTTGAACGCCAATACTGTGTGGCAGTAATATACGTTAAAAAATGTAAAATAAAATGTCCAAACTACACAGCAATAGTTTCCACAATGAGAAAGCAACTGTCCAAACAAAACGCGACTCCAAGGAAAACGGCTGGCTAGCGTAATCGTACAGTTGATGCTGAGTTGCCCGACCGAATATTGTAGAACAGCTGTTTAGTTATTTCCGTACTTGATTGCGCAGTGAGGTGACGCACGCGGCCTATCGACTTTTAGTATTTCTATCACCCTCTAGTGGATTAAGCACTAAGTGACATGTTTGTGTATCTCTAAAAGTCGAAATCTAAAGTATATGTATTTGTCGAAATAGTAAAGACACTTTCCACTAGATGGCGTATATTACTAAACATTCGTAGTAGCAATCATAGCTACCTAGTTTCATTCATTCAAAGTATAAATTACTAGATGGCGTTACCTGTTCAATTTGATACATTCATAGTTAGACACTACATTTTAAATAGTTATCCAACCCGAATCAATTCAACACAAATGCTTCATAACTTCAGATTTTATCTAGAGCGCAATAGTTTATTGATGTGTTACTGCCTGTAATATAAATGTTCTAGTAGTTTAATAATAAAATAGGAATGGTTAATTTAGTAAAAGTCCTCTACCCGTATTAAATCTATTAAAATTAACAAATACAACAATAAAACAGAAATATAAATAAATTAAAATATTATTATTAGTAGAGACAATAACAATAGTATTATCATTACTGTGATATATAACTATTTCAATAACAGTATATTTGACGGTTATCTATTAAATAGGTTTGATTTTTATGACCGTTACACCGTTATAATTGTAACTAGATTAAGCAAAAAATAAAAAAATAGGGTATATGATTAATTGACTTATTTGTGTGGATGGTTGCAGCAGACAATGATACGTGGGAGCGTGATTCAAAGGCGACTCGCCCACCTTAATATTGCCTTGTACAGGCAGAACTTCTCGTGCAACCCACGTCAGATATTGGCAGTTTAACTCTGCAATGTCTTCAAGGAAATTATAGAGAATTTTTTGCCTATTGGCAAGTGAAATTTATAAATCTAAACTTAAATAACGCGATAACTTAACCACAGATAACATAATATTACATAAGTTATCTAAAAATTACTAGATGCTTATTTTTTTAACTTAATGGTTTGCTTTGGTGCAATTTTAAAATTGTAGAGATTGAAGTAAGAAATTTATAGATATATTTTTGGTAGTTACTGGAATTATTAAGCCTAGCCTGTAACTTCACTGGCATATCTCAGCCTTCAATCGAAATAAATCTTACGAAGCAAGTTGCTTGGTGACTGAAACATAGGTACCCACGCAAACGACTTTGTACAATACCACCTCTACCACCGTTAATGTAAATGATTCCTCATTGCACTCTAGCATCGAATAATGTGTAGGTTGCTTCATATGTTTTCCTATTTAATAGGTATTTAATTCCACGATTTTGAAAGTTACTTTGGCATTACCTAGTACAGTATTTTATATTTGCACATTTAATTCCTTTCTAAATTGCATAAGCAAATATCAACGTTATAGCCTGACTGATTCGCTAATCGTAGATATTTTCAAATATGTCTAATAACTATTGACGTCATCATTATCACAACATAATCTATCATTGACTACTGAACTCTCAAATTAACACTTACTAATAATAAATGAGAGAAATTTTGTATAGCAGAGTGTGACAAAAGTATATATAAAAAGAATAGTCAAAAAGGAGATATTTATTTCAAATACGGATGAATGTCTAAAGTCGTATCCGTCAGGCTGGAATTAGCCTCAGCAGCGCCAGCGTACTTCCGCGGGTTTGGAGTGCCATCTGCATTCGCCCCCTATCGTCCAGTGAAGCTGTAAAGGTTACCTGCAGTCCAACAGCATTAGAGTAGTCCGAAAAAAAGCGGATGAATGAATATTCAAAGTAGGTAATGCATGGTATTGTAGGTCAAAAAATTATTTATAGTTTTGTTTAATGAATGATGATGGAATGGTTAACGATAGGATAAGAAAGTTTTTCAACTGACCTTTAATCCAATGTGAGGATTTCACCAGCTAACCACGACTAAGTGCAAAAGGACATCAGTCGATGTCATCTAGTCCTGGTACATTACAACAAATGTGGTCACTATGCCCCATTACCACAGATAAAATAATATTACAATTACTAATAATCCCCTCCCTCTTATATCTATATTAGAAATAGGCAAACTGAATTTGGAATAGATTTGGTATATAGAAAAATAGGACCATTACCTTATTTGTATTGGCAAATCTAAGCTTATCTAAATAGGTCTATCGTTTCACACCCTATATATAAAGGCGGTGTTTTTATTATAGGTATGTTGTCTGACAAAGAAATCTTATCAGAAGGCAGGTATATTGTCAGTGCCCCATATAAGGATTTCCGTTTTGCCTAATTAGTTTATAAGAGGTTGTTTTTGTATGGTAATGGAATAGTGCATACATCTACGACGCCGGGGCACTAGTGGTGGATGATAAGATGAACATGAAATCTTTGCATTTAGAACATAATGGCGAATACGTCAGGTTTTAATTATGACGGTCTCCAGGGTGAATCGCATGGAAGTCCTAACATAGTATAGTGGAACCAACAATCCAACAATCCCCTTCTCCTATATAATAAGGATTGGTCTTATTTAAAGATTCTTATATGCGAGAAGTAGCGGGAACCTAACAAAAAGGTACTATAACCTTTATAAAAATCTCTTTTTTATGTAAAACTTAGATTTTTATAAAGAAATTTTATACGTGATCGTACCAATATTATAAACGCGAATATGTGTAAGAATGGGTTTATAGGTGGTTGTTACTTTCTGTTGTTTCACATAAAGAAATCGTATACAGACAGATACCAAACTCGCACAGGCAACACCGGGTTACAGCTAAAGATAGATATGCCTTTTTCAACTGCAATTATTTCAGACGTTTTGGCCATTAAAACCTCTATACAATAAAAATTTGTTTTTGGACAATACCATTTCAGGAGAAACTGAATTTTCTATTTATTACGCACAGTCAAAAATCGTGCTTTTTTTTTAAAGTAATTTTAAAACTTTTTCTATATAGGTAATATATATGAATAAATAACAGTATTGAAAATATTACACCATTATATACATGCACCTATATGTATCGATTCCAACATATAAGACTGACTTACTGGAATTGGAGGTTGCGAACTGCTCCATAATTTTATGTTAATATCTGTGTCACTTGTTTATTACCTACTCAATATCCACCAACTCGCCAGCCTACTCTTTTTAAATTGAGCTCCTTGACTCATAGCAGTTCAAGTAAATAAATAAATATATCGCTATGACTGTTATCCCAGATATATGGGCTAGTCAAATATATTTCCAATTGTCGTGGTGAAATCAGAACTTTATAAGTCTGATGATTAAGAGCCATCATCTTTACATAACAACTAGACATTATCATTAGACCGTCGTAACAAATTCATCGGGACCACGATAGTTTCTAAAGGGTATGTGGATGACTTGACAGGATACATTTTTAGATAAATAGATAAGCGGGCGCAAACACCTATTGCTAATAATCCTCTCTATTCTCCGCGGTATATAGGAGGGATGTTAAGGAGTTCCGTAACCGTAACTGAATCCGAAATAAAAGTTTCGGATAATATCGAATAGGGGCGGAGCCTAATTGAGACACGTTACGTAACCATTTTATTAGCTAGCTTTTGTATTTTACTTTTGAAATTCTTTAACAAATTAATATCCGTAACCGAAATTATCCGAAACTAACGGTTAATCCGAAATAATTTCATATCCGCATCCGTATCCGTATCCGGTATAATAATCATTCCTATATCCGAAACCTATCCGTATCTGAAATTTCATATCCATAACATCCCTGGTATGTAGCACTTCATTATGTATATATATATACCAATTGACTTGACTTCATTTTCAATCTGCTATTTTCCACTTATTCCGTAAGAATTTGCATTATTCCATTACCACCTAAAACATATAAATGCACAAAGCAACTTGTATTAAGTATTAATATATTTACGTGACTCTTTATTAGTTTGATAATAATTAATAATAAAATTATTAATGAAAATTTTTCATTCTTATATAAGTATCATCATTTTATTCTGAACAAATATGACTATGGTGGTAGCTTTTAGGCCATTTTTGGTATGAAAGGTTTTATGAGATGTAAGCGCTTACGTGTCTCGAAGGTCTGGTGGTGGGCGACGCGCTGTGATACGACGGCGGCGCGGCGGCGTGGCGGTGTGGCGCGGCGTCAAGGTGTCACGGGGGCGCCGGCGCACGTTCAGACAGAATCCGCGAGTCAGTCGCGAGCACCGCGCGCGCATGCTGGCGACACACGACACGAACGACTCTCGCGACCATTTTAAATATTTATTACAAGGCAATTGTTTGACTATATTAAGTGATAATTTTAATGAACTCGTATTTAAAAATATTTAATCGTAAATTAAGAATCTCATTTAATTAAGATATTATTTTTTACTATTTAAGTTATTAGTGGCATCAAAATGACGATTAAAAATAAAAAGACTAAACAATCCAAGTCTTCGGAAGTGACATCATCGAATAGTAGTGCATCAAGTAGTGTTCAAAAGAGCAGCACTACAACATCCGTGCAGCAGAGTAGTAACACTTTACAGAAGGTCAGCTCATCTGGTAAAAAGGTTCGCTACATTGAGGTAAAGGTTGAGGAAGACGACCCCCTTATGATAACCGATGTCACTGATAATGCTTCCGTAAGTGGCTCAACTATATCCGAGCACTACAATAGCCATCCGCACTACATTATTACTGAAGCTCCGTCTATTACAGACTTGTCACAGATAAGATCACAAGAGCATAACATAAGTGACATGTCGCAGGCTACAACTGGCGAATTTGTTTCTAGTTCTGTACTACAACAATCGTCTACTTCACATCAACAAAGTTCTAAAAGCGAAGCTTTTCAAAGTTCGACTAGTTCCATTCATCGTTCCGGTTCTAGTCAAAGTCAGTCTTTTGATAGAACCATGGATTCTTCAGCTAATCAAACGCTCAATACTGCATTCATTGACAGTTCTAAAGGCAATATTACCCATGCTAATACTGATTTTTTAGCAAGATCTCAAGGTGCTAATGCTACAAATTCCCTTCTTCAATCGGAACGTCAAGATATAAGTAGTACACAAAGATCTAGTGCATCAAGTTCTGAAGTGGTAAATAAAACAAACAAATTCATAGATGGCAAGAATATTAATCGTCGCGAGAAAGTAATGTATGAAAATTTGCCTGAACATTCAAAGCGAGTCCAAAATATTAAGTCGGATTCCTCAAATTTTTATGGAGGCGAACAAAGCCTCGACAAAAATACAAATATTAAGGAATTCAGCAGCACATCCCAGTCTAGCGAAAGCAAAAGTAGTAACGTCACAAAATCATCATCTTCCTCATATGTAGTGGAAATTGTAGATGGCAAAGAACGTATTATTGATAGTTCAAAACGAGAATGGGGAGATGCTCAAGAGCAAGCATCGAGGGAAGCTTATGATAGCATTAGCGGAACTGATATAAAACCTCAATCATCTCACAGTATCCAAAATTATGACATGAAATCTAAATATGATACAGGAAAGGACGGCAAGAAACCTTTTAGTGAAATGTCAGTTAAAGAAGACTCTAAATTTATCAAGGATGGAAGTCAAATAACCACTCATCAGAGTATTACCTCGGAACGAGATAATCAAAAACATCAACAATATACTTCTACTCAAGGTCAACTTACTTCTGAAGATCATAATAAATTTTCTACTGGCACTTCTAAAGATTATAGCTCTGTACAAAAAACAGATACACAAAAGAATGTAAAGTCTAGCAACGAAATTGTGAATGAAAGGCGACGCAATGCAAATACAACTGATTCATCAAACTTTTATGGATATGACGCTACTATAGAAAGTGAATTAAAGAAAGTTGGAGGTATTTTACAAGTTCCAAATACGGAAAATATTGACTATTCAACTAAAATTATGAAAAGTAATACTAGCAGTGCTCAACAAGCATCTACATCTTCCTACGTATTTGAGGTTGTAGACGGAAAACAAAAAATTATAGACAGTTCTCATAGAGAATGGGGTGATAGTAAAGACCATTCTACATATGAAAAGAGTCATAATATCAGTGGTACAGGTATTAAGCCACAAAATGAATATAGTCGGCACGTTCTAGATAAAGAATCTCATTACGACACAGGCAAAAATGGCAAACCAACTAGTTCTACGTATTTAACAGAAGAATCTGTCTTGCTTAAAGACGGTAAAGAAATAGCATCAACAAAAAATGTTTATGAAGGTGATTTTACTAAAAAACAAGCAATATCGGAACATACTCAAAGCGATGACGTGCTTAATAAACGTATTCGAGATACAACTGATATTAATCGTACAAGTTATGAATCTACATTATCTGATATACAGTCTCAAACAAAGGACATTACTGATGTAAGGAATACTAGTGATGTCTCAGTAAAACAAAATAAAAATATTGAGAAATATAATGTTTCTAAAGAATCAAAGTCGTCTTCAACATCTGAAACAAAAGATACTTTGACTACATATGAAAGAAGTACAGGAACATGGAATGGAAAGTTTATTTATGAAAAAGATGACGATAGGCCCAGAAAACCAAAAGAAATGTCACCTTTTGGAAAACCCGAGCAGCCAAGACACCATTTAAAACGTCAGGATACTGAGGAAAACATAATTTTATCATCTAGGGATATTAAAGATTTTACATCTATAAGTGACTTGAGAAAAATAATTGAGACATCACAATTTAAAAAGGATGTTACTGTAAGTAACAAAAATATTGTAATTAATAGAAATATCGATGATCGGGTACTAAAAGAAATTATTGAAACTGTAAAAAAATATCCATTCAAAAGAATAGAGAAAGTAACATTTGGTACAAAGATTAATGAAGATGTGAAAGATTTATATGAAGGTGTTGATACTGAAGAAGTTACTGTATTAACTACTAGCAGCGGAGACGTCAGCAAAAAGTCATTTGAAGTTGAAAAAAACAGGAGTCAAATAGAGGTCACTCGATACATTACGGAAAATGGTGTTACAAGAAAAATAACAACTTATGAAGATGCAAAAGAAGATGACAAAATTAAAACAAACGTTTTCGTCGACAAGAGTGCGTTAGACTTCAAAAATCTGGTAGGTTATCTAAAATGATTTTAATTTTTTAAATAAAAAAATATTTTTCGCCATTGTAAAGCAATAACATTTTTTCAGCGAGATGTCCATACGACGAAAGACGAGATTAGCGAATACGACGTGGTAGATCGTGCCATCACAGATACCACAACAAAGGACACCACTGTCAGCACCGTCTACGATGAGACCATCATCGACGACAGGAAAACCGTGCGAGATGACAGAACCACGATCGAGGAGACCGTCTTTATAGATGAGACAAGACCAAAACATGGTGGCCCTAAGAAACCAGAGAAGACAGTTATTAAAGAGCAGTGCATTTGTGAAATCTGTACCTGTGGGTGAGTATTTAAAATATTTGTTATGAATTTTAAATATCTACCGTTGACAGTCTTCTTCTCTTGCTTCGTTTACTATCTCTATTTTAAGAACGTAATAACACTATGCAAAATCTCAATTTTATGTTTAGTTTAGTTAAGATACCAATAGTGAGGTATCATTAATAAGTGTAGTTTATTTCCCTGCACACCGTAATATACATGAACTTTTTTTGTCATTTGAGATTATTTTACGCTTCATTATTTGAATCAAACATAATGTAAAGTGATAAAACTGTGAAACATCTTTTCGAAGCATTGAAAAGTAATATCATTAGATGCATGATATTACACTAAACACATGGGTATTTCTATAAGTTGTTTAAAATTATTGGCATGTGATATTGATGTGACAGTATAGGCATACATCACATAACTTAATTGTAAAATAAAAGTATAAATTTTATCATACATATACCTGTAACAAAACAATTGGTGTATTTTATTTACGTCAGCATTCAAAATAACTTATATCAAGTAAAAGGAAAATGCCAATGTATCTGGAATAATGCATATCAGTTAGGTACATTATTTTTAAACAATAATATATTGTTATTACGGAATGAAATGTAAATCGCAATATTGGAATATTTGATCATTTAAAAATTATTTTCATTTGATTTACTACATTAATTAATGAGTTAGCGATGCTTTCCGGCTCTAGGCCAGGATAAGGGCATTTAAGCCCTTATAGGTAGGTTTAATAGGCAAACATTTTTATTGTTGGTCTTCAGAAATGCATAGTTATAACTTACTCTTAGTATGTTTAGTCAGGAATTATACTAGCCAAGGCTTTTCTGTAACCTTTCCTAATGTATGATGATTGTTACATAGATAACGAGTCTCGCATTTTGATTTAATCAAGTAGAACACTTATATGTGTGTTTATTTTATTATTTTACCATTATAAATTAGTAGCCTTTTATGTAACATGAATGACGTAGTGTACAAAGCATTTATGTGGAGATACACGTAGGTAGGTACCTAACTACATACACAAAACAACTTTAGTGTAAGTAAATTGTGAACGTGTGTGCGTACAATATTACAATGACCGTGAAAAGTCGAGCAGAGTCAACTGTGGAACGATTTTTTATCAAATAGATGAGAATGAAGGCAATGAGCTACTTATTATGTGACCAATATTTTATTTTTATCATGTTGCAACATCAGATAGTCGAGTCTATGAGCGATACCACTAAATAGGAATAATTTTTATCCTTAACTGCATAATTATATTAAATTTATAGGTTAAATAATATCTTTGATACTAATCCCATTTATGTATAAATAGGTATAACTATAAGTTCATATAATGCGATTGAATAAATATAAAAAAATATATTAAATAAATAAACATTACATAAACAAGCATAATAAAGTTCTGGGATCATAGTAAACTGTATCTGAAATGGACATTCATATGTATAATTTTGAAACATTCATATCATAAACATGATAACATTCTTAATATTTCATATATTTATCAACTATACGTTGATGATTGATGATGAACTCGTTGAACAACCGAAAGATGTGCTACTTACGTAATATACGCTAATGACTACGTAGCTATTTAGTCTATGTCTGAGAATAAATCACGTCACCATACTGAAAGCAATTCTATATTGACAAAATCATTACTTGCTCATACAAATACTTCAGGTGATACTCGGGTGAATGCTATTTTATATAACTTTGAAGACATCAGTATGACAATTCAATTTACTGTTTCAATATAAGCACATATGTTACCTACTTTAATTATTTTTTGCAAGACCTTCGTATTGAAAACATGTAGGTATTTGTTCAGATTAAATTTTACAGGTGTCGCATGAATAGCTTTAGAACCTTGAAAATTAAAGAGAGGTACTAGGTACATATTTTAGATCAGCATTTTAAGATGCCAGACGTTAAATTACAGATTTTATTTATAACTACAATTATTCGCGACTATGTCCGCGTGGAACTGAACTTTTTTATTTATTAATATAAAAATATTTCTAATATTAAAACAGCTTAAGATATTTCTTATAACATTAGCTATCTATCCGTGAAAGTCCCGCCAATGTCAGTATTTTATTCACTCATACCTAAAAAAACACATAAACATATGTTTAATATTTAATTAAAATAAAATTATTAAAATTTAAATAGCTGAATTCCATTTAGATATTTCTTCTACTTCACATGAGACGGTAGCTCTTAAATATTTATTAAATCTAATCTAACGAATTAGATGCATAGAAACGAGTTCTGAATTGAGGGCGATATTAGAAGACATTTATTTCGAAATACCACCCACTCTTACCTAAGCGGTAACTAAACTTTGCAAATCACAGTGGGGGAAGGTGAATAACATTTTATTAATTGCTTTTACTTCATAAGGTAATTGTAGTTTTGTATGGCTTGCCATATTCGAGACAAAAGTAGGTGGGATACAAGTGAATTATTTATTTTTTATTGCGTTTCGGTCTGAAGCATCCATATCCATATATAATCCATATACATATATGCATATCACTACTATCTCTATTACAAATATTACAATAGATAACTGTTATATCATATAGCAGTAAAGAATTCATGAGGGGTCCCTCAAGCTGCAGAGTAATCTTAGCTTTAATTTGTTTTATATCTAATTTATTATCTTTATATTTAATCTAACAGGACATGCACCTTATGGCGCCTGAAGACAGAGTCGCATCAGGTGTATGCTCTTTTAAAATAAATATAAAAATTAATATTAAAAGTATAATTATAACAGAAGTCGCGTATTGGTAATCCTACGAATTACGAAAAACCAGATTAGGTTAAGGTTCCAATCCTTAGGTACTTTACTCTTTGAATCTAATGCTCGAAAACATTGAATCAGTTTAAATCCGCAACATACTGTATTAATATACGAACAAAAAAAGAAACAGACAATATTGAGTATCGACCGAGACCGTGACATTGGGCATAAACAGATGACAATTAGAACATGTCCAACTAGGCACAGTGCCAAAATAACCTATGAAATTATTACACATGTAAAAAATATTTGTTAGTCATCTAATAGTGATTAAAAAATGAAAATATATTTCTTAATAATTATAATTTTTGCTAGTTTACGTGTCTACAACTTTTATTTATACTGTTTAATATTATAAAGAGGTACAGTTGGTGATGTTGTAGAGGGTGGATCTAGAGAAACGACTTAGAAAATTGTTTTAGCCCATTTATCGAGGAAGGCAATAGGTTATATAACATCATACTACTAACAATAAGAGTTGAGTTCCTATGAAAAATGTAGCAAAAACGGGGGAAATGTGACTTGGACGAAGTTACGCGGGTCAGCTAATATTATATCTTTAGTAAGAATACAGCTACTATAATTTTACTTATAATCTTTTCCAGAGATTTTATTATTAATACTTACTAAAAAATGTAATAATAATATTCAGGTTACGACAGTATAACCTGTATTAAAGTGTTTTTCATAAAGGGCATCTGTATTAAAATCGACAATGCGCACATGTTTTAGTTCAGGCGTTCTTAGGTAACAGTAATATCACATGGGCCATAATATACTTATTGGCTTGATTCTAGTATAAAAAAAATATTATGTGCAATTGCTATCTATACTGAATTATTGTAAATACCTAAGTTCATTTAAAAGGAAGAAATACATTTTTCCTACACAAGCGTGATGAAAGTAAATTAGTGTTGATTGGTTATATGAATTGAATGAGACAGTGGACGCAATGACAATGCAATAGAAGTCAAGTTGTAATGAAATGTGTCCAAGGTTACGCCTCTGCTCGACCGTAATAACTTTAGTTATGGACTTTGTAGATTAAATCACCCATATACATGCATATTTTATTTCTCCGCAAATTGGATTTAAGTAAGAAATTTATTTGTGAATAAAGATCATTAAACGCAGTGACTGCTGATCACAATATTTGACAGCAGTCAATTTTGGGGCAGAGAACATGATGACGCCAGTTGTTACCGGCAACTTTATTGGCTATAATGAGATTTAAGATAGCTTATTTCTATCTTTGTGATACAATCTATATTCCTGAATTTTCGTTAAAATCCGTTCAACAGACTTTATTTAGAATTCTTAATCTAGGAAGGTTTTAGGTATTTTATTATATACGAACATCTATATACTGTAAGTAAAATCAAGTAAATGATGTACATTTGTGTTTCATTATATTTTTTATTTGGCTAATTTAGTTCACAGATAGGAAGGTATGCACTTACCTACGTTGACGCATAAAAGAATTATGTGCAAATATATAAAAAATAATTATAGTCATAGACTTTTTAAAGAGCTATACTTACTACAGATCGCTGAAATTATGTAGATATTATTTATATATTTAGAGCGCCGTATTTTCTTTTGAATGTGAAATTCTCGTGCAGCTCGTTTCGTGCCTCATCGCGCCAGGCACCCGTGTATATCAAATATCTCACCTCGCCTTCGTGAAATGGAACTAAAGGGAAACCAGTTAATTGAAAATACTGGCTAAAATTCAGAAATTATTTTAATTAATCTTCTTTTAATTTGAAATTACTTTACTCCCATGTTAGATTCATAGTAATTTTCAAATAACTCCAAAAGGAAGACAGTTCGACATTCGAAATTTCACTGTATATTTTGTTTGAGTAATTTACTTATAGTGTATTGATTTAGATTCAATATTGTAGTCAATATGTACTTTCCAGAAAAACTGGAAACCTATAGACAACCCAAAAGGCTTTCCTTATTTAAGTATAACAATTCCAAAATATCTTGATTTTATATTCAGAAATATTTGTTGCCTTATCAATGAATATAATGTTAATCCAATCTAAGTAAACCACTAAAAGCCATATAAGTCTAATACAAATATTTAATCTTTAAATGTTAGATGCAATATTAAGAGAGTACACCAACCTACCTCTGGTAAAATAAAACTCGCGGAAACAAT